CTACTACTACTACTACTACTACTACTACTACTACTACTACTACTACTACTACTACTACTACTACTACTACTACTACTACTACTACTACTACTACTACTACTACTACTACTACTACTACTACTACTATTGCTACGCCCCTCGCCCACAGCCAAGCGGGAGACAAAACAGGGGAGCAGGAGGAGGAGGAGGAGGAGAAGAAAAAGGAGGAGGAGGACGAGGAGGAGGACGAGGAGGAGGAGGAGGAGGAGGGGGGGGGGGCCCAGACATCCGACGTCGTGGTCTTTCCGCACCGTGGCCACGAGCTCTGGACCCCACCCTCGGGGCCCCAGAGGGGGGCGTTTTCGGTTCACGGACGCCGCTGGTGGTTCTTGGAGCGGTGCTCCAGGCCCAGGGATCCGACGCCCTAGAACAATTGGAGCGGCTGGATTTGGGCAGCTTCCGGCCTCCCGGCGAGGGGCGGCCCCTCGCCGGGCCTCGGGAGTGTCAACAAACGGCTCCGGATGAGAAACCGGCCCCGGGGAGGTGGTCCGGACCTCCAAGGCCCACGCATTGACAAACAACAAAAAAAACACAGCTGGATGTCTGGGTTTTGATCCACCCCCCAGGGCCGACTGGCCCGAGAGGGAGGCCACATCCAGAGGATCTTGCAGCCACCAGGAGCCAGGGACCTGCACCGGGGGGCGTCCCCAGACGTCCGACTTCGCGGTCTTTCCACACCGTGGCCTTGAGGTCTGGATCCCTGCCTGGTGGCCGCTTCTCGTCCTGAGCGGGTCTTGCGACGGCCCTGGGGCCCGGTATAGCTATATCTGTATCTCTGTATCCATAAGTATGTATATTTACACGCACATTTGTATGTGTATATATTTACATATATACACATATCTATATATATATATATATATATATATGTATATCATGGGCTCCAGGAGGTCTGACATGGCTCAAAACCTCCCGTCGCGTCTTCTCACCACGCGAAGACGTCACGGGCCGACGGTGAGGGAACAAAGAGGCACCGGTACCGCTGCACTCCCCGGACCTCTCTCGGGGTGCATTCCGACGAAAAAAAGCTCGAAGGGACTCGGGTCGTGGCGGCGACGGCCCTCCAGCACGGACAGCGGTGTTGGTATCCGAAGAAGCTATAAGGTTCTGCGCTGTTGAAATGACAATGAAAGCAAGCACCCAAACCCGATTTGAAAGCGCTATAAGGTTCTACGCCGTTGCGATGACCGTCGAACCCCCCTAGGTGTACACTAGTGTGCCAGATCGCTATGGAAAGGACCGTGAATTTCCTGCCAGCAGTCCTCCAAATCCTCGAGAAACAGAGATCCCTTATACCTTCTGAGGAAGAAGACGAAAACGAGGAGGACGAGGATGAGGAGGCGGAGGGAGGAGGAGGAGGAGGGGGAGGGGGAGGGGAAGGAGGGAGGAGAAAGAATAGCTAAGGTATACCCTGTCCCTCCCCTGAGGGCGGGTCCTGCCCGGCGCTCGCCACGAGCCCCCCTTCCGGCCAGAGCTGCAGCGAGAGGACACCCTCGCGGCCAGGGTCCGCGGCCTGGGTTGGGTCGGGCACTGTCCCCCCACAGGCGGAGTTTTTGCTCGGGAGAAAAAAGAAAAAACAACAACACAAGATCCCAAAGAGTAACAAAATGATAGGAACATCGTCCCCAAGACTATTCTTTGACTCCTTTTGAAGACTCCTCCTGTAGAGGGACATGCCGACTCACGCTTAGGTCGGGCATGTCCCCCTGCAGGCGGATTTTTGGAGCGAGAGATGAAAAATAGCCAAACGATGCTCCCAGATAGTGGAAATTTATCATCGCGTCCCCAGAATACTCCAGATTTCGTAATAAAGGGAGGGGGGTCTCATTTCGGGGGAGGGGTCTTTTCCAAGCTATCTTGGAGGACCTGGGGGGGTCTGAGGACGATGTTTTGGAGGGTTCTCCCACGGGGGAGGTCTGAAATGGCTTGTCTTGGAGGGTCCAGACCCCCTCCCTTTTATTACGAAATCTGGAGTACTTGTTTTACAAGTTTTGAGGATCCTCCTGCAGAGGGACAGGCCCGACCTAAACTTCAGGCCTGGGCGATCGGCGTCAGGGCGCCCCCCGCGAGCCGCCAGGCCGAGATCACCCCGTCGATGCCCGTGCTCAGCACCGTCTCGGAGGCCTCGCAGACCTGCAGGGCCAGGACCCAGTCCGCGTGTGCCTCTCCGCGGTGGGGGGCGAGGAGGAGGCGAGGAGGGCGAGGAGGGCGAGGAGGGCGAGGACGGGAGCGAGGAGGAGGCGAGGAGGGCGAAGAGGAGGGCGAGGAGGAGGCGGAGGAGGAGAAGGAGGGCGAGGAAGAGGAGGAGGAGGAGGAGGAGGAGGAGGGCGAGGAGAAGAGGGAGGAGGAGGGCGAGGAGGAGGGCGAGGAGGAGGAGGGCGAGGAGGAGGGCGAGGAGGAGGGCGAGGAGGAGGAGGAGGAGGAGGAGGAGGAGGAGGAGGAGGAGGGAGGGAGGGCCAGC